ATCTGCAACCATTCCAAAGTCAAGCAAATCTTCAATATGGGCTAGCTCATTGCCCTGATGATGCCGCTTCCATTATCAGCGATTGCGGCGACAGCGTAAACTATATTTTTGAGCTAGCTCTGAGCTTTTTTTAGCTTATTTGAGAAAAAAATTTTACGAAGGAAATTCCAAAATTTAGGTCCCATGTTTGTACAATTACGCTTTGTTACAATCGAAGGTATTAGCCTTCGAAGAACAAGACACTTGGAATAGTTTCATTACGGAAAGGGTGGATGCTGTGCGGCAATGTGGGTCATTTTGAACTCCAAATTTAAGAAAAAAATTGAGTTTCAAATGCAATGAAGAAAGAGAATGGAATTTTTTTAGATAACAGCTGCGGAGCGATCAATATCGAGTATCCGGAGTACATGATGAAGACTCCAGCACTTGCATCAGGATATCTACAGGGAGACGTAGCCCGATTTGATTGTTATCAATCTCATTGGATTAAAGGAGATCATGAATATAAATGTAAGGACTTTTACACAAGTTTTTTTTCGAACCCGTCCAAAACTACGAAATAAATTTGTTTTTAAAGGTGGGATTGTTGTGGATTACAACAATCCAAATTCCTATCGTTTTGAATGGAATAAAGGCTCACAACCATGGTGCCGTTCTCGAGTAAAAGAAAATTATTTCAAATGGATTACTGTGATATTTAGTACTGTAGCTATAATCCTTGTAAGTTCAAATTTTAGTTCGGAAAGGTAGAACTTCAGAAAAAACCTGACTTTTAGGCTCTTATGGTGGTGTTCCTTTTTTGTTGGTGTGTGAAACAGCGTAAAATTCAAGAGCAACGGCAGTATAACTATCGAGATACCGCGGTGAGTAATCCAGAACAACTGTCACATTTGTCAAAAATATAAACATACAATTGTTTTAGGAACAAAATGGTTTGTACAAATTTTTTTTGTTTATAGGCTTATACGAACAAAGGACGAGTGCCATCGGTGGGTTCCCTGGATGACGCACCCCAACTTACCCAG